ATATGGGGTCGTCCCCATTTCATAGTTACATAAAAATATCTTTCTGAAATCCTAGTTAACAAATGATAGCAAAGTTTTCTCATTGCACGATACTCAGTTAAAAAAAAATGAAAGAAAAAACCTAACAAATATCTATCGAAAAAGGGACTTACATGCAATAAGTTTTCATATCCAAGAACTGTATGCTCAAAATCAAACAGTTTGTTTTCTATTTCGTTACATTTATTATTGTCAGTGGTATTTAAAGTAGCGGTATCCTGACTAAGATTATTTAATACTGCTAGCAATCGATTTGCATCATCCTTCTTTATAATCGATTTTATGAGTGTTAGGAACTCAGGTTTATTATCGAAATTATTGAAAACATTTGGAGAATCCGTCATAGTGTAAAATGAAGGGAAACATGTAAAACTAAGTGAAAAACGTTGAAATACACGTTCACGTAGTGGAAAAATCACTTCTTTAAAAACTTTTGTCTCTATAGTTTCATAAATATACTATCGAAATGTCTAACAAACCAATAAGAATAGATTAAATGTTTCTTTTCTTATGTCTCTTATTTTACGAATGACCCTATCACGTGATCAGTTATTTGATGACTTCCACTAAATATAACGATTTTTTGAATGTACTTTAAAACACAAATACAAGTGGTTATGCCTTATGTAAATGTACTGTTCAGTTAAAACAGTTTTAGCATCTTTCAGTAATTTAAATAATATACATATAAACTGATGTCTACAATCTGGGGTCCATGTTAGACAATATTTTATGGGGACATCGTCGTTACAAGGGGAAGTGTAACTGAATGTTAGTTACTTGTGAAATTTTTTCTTTGCTTATTCATATATTGACTAACAAGTAACTATTCAGAGTTATATTGTTCTGATTAAACAAATAACATTCATTTCCTAATAAATATTCGCCAAGTTAGTCATTTTGTTTCCTGAAATCTAATTCGTTGAAGTAATTGAGTAATATAGATACAATTATTTCGTCGTAGTAACTTTGAATGTTTGAGTGAGGAATTACATGTAAATAAATTTGAGATGAAGATTTGTAGCTCATGTGGGTGATTTTGGTGGAGTTTTGTTCTCTGAGCTGGATGATTTGTTTGTGGTGCTTTCATGGTTCTTCTGAACGACATCATCAGCACGAACTTCAAGTAGAAGTGAAGTGTTCAAATTTCTCTACATATGGCTGACAGCTTGCCCAGTAGACCTCGATGTTGATTGGTCCTTGTTGACCTTTAGTCTGTCATTGTTTATTTCTTTATTTTGGTTGTACCTCCCATTGGTTTGATTTTTGGTCCTATATTTGTTCATAATTTTTCTGATTGGCTGATAAATTGGGTCGATTTAAATGTGTTTGTTGATTGCTGATTAACCTGAGTGCCAAGCTTCTAAAAATTCTCTAGTGTTTTTAGAATTGCCTCTATCCAAGATCTCTACATTCTTCCAGTCGAATGTATGTCCACATGCATTGATGTAAGCGAGGATATGTCATGGCGTTTGACCACGAATTGATGTTCATGCAGGCGAAGATAGAGGGAACATACACTTCGTCCGATGTAGTGTATTTCGCAGTTGGAACAATTTATTTTGTAGATGTTCGGTTTTTCTTCTATCGTCATTTCATCCTTTGGTTTCAATAGGATTGATTGAAGTGATTTCGTTGTTTGTCTGCTACACCTATTCCAAGAAACTTCAACAATCTCGTTGTAATTTCTAATATGCCTTTTGTATATGGTAAGATGATCTGTTTGTTAGTTTCTGTACTTGACTTTGTTTCTGATGATGCCTTTGGCTGATATTTTTTGAAGAAACTGATTCGATAGCCATTCTTTTGAAAGGTGGAAATCAGGTATTTTTTTATTTTTTCGCGTTGCAAGTGTGTCCCGCATTCTTGAATAAAGCTTGTACGCAGATGATTTTGTGAGTTCTTGGGTTGATGCTAATGGAATTGAGAATTCGATCTGTGTGCGTCGGCTTCAGATAAACTTGAGTCTCTAGTTTTCCTGTGTCGGTTCTGGTGATTAACACATTCAAGAATGATAGTTTTTTTGCTTGGCTCCTGTTTTATCGTGAACTTTATGTCATCGAAGACGTCGTTGATCAGTTTGAAGGTGTTTCCCAGCTCGTCCTTTTTGACGATGACGAATATGTCGTCCACACGAATCCAAACTATTGGCTTGATCACTGGTAAGATCGAGGTTTCCAGTCTATTCATCGCTGCTTCTATACAGTAAGTCCTGATATTAGTGATCCCATCGGTTTTCCTTTCGTTTGTCCGTAGATTTAATTGTTGAATTAGAGGTATGTTGTTGAGCATAAATCTATGAGTTTTAGTAAACTTTGACTTTGGAGCTTCGTGTACTTTGGCAGATTTGTGTCGTTGGTGGAAAGCAGAGATAGTTTCCTTTGCTAAGCTTGGTTCAACTGAGGTGAGTAAAGCTATTACAGCGACGGATATCATCAGTTCTAAATTGTTGATTTGAATGTCCTTAGGCTTATCCGGGAATTGTATGGGAGAATTGATGGAGTGGTTGGATGCAACCACTGAATGTTTCAGTATCGGTGAATTTCCTCTTGACAAATTGTATGTTGGGGTTCCGGAAAGTGATACAATTCGACGTAGTGGGATGATTGGTTTATGTATTCTCGGCTTACCGTATAATCGAGAGAGTATTGAACCACTGGATTTCATTCCCGATTGATCTTGCTTTGACAAGCTTGTTTAAAGTCCTTGAGACTTGGTTGTCTAAACTTTTGACTGGATATGTGTCCATTGATTTGTATACGTTCTTATGCTCAAGCAGTTCCTCGGCTTTCCTAATATATTATTCCCTGTCCATAATCACCGTAGTGCGTCCTTTGTCCGCTGAGACTATGACAATATCTTCTCTAGTCCTGAGTTTCTTTAAGGCTTTTTGTTCATGTGAGGTCAGTTGAGTGTTTCTTTTCCTCCGCTGAGTTAGTGGTACTATGGTTTGTCTTATTTCCTGTCGAGTTTCTTCACTTCTTCCGATGAAAGCTCCACGATCAAACCATCCAGCTCAGAGAACAAAACTCCACCAAAAAATGTATATTACCCATGATATTCAGGAATGCCGCCAAATGCCCTGGTATGGCAAAGGGTGGAAAGGGCCCGCCCTACCTCTCGAAATGCTCTCACATTGTCACGCGTACACAGCCTCTGCGAGGGAAGTCCTACTCACTGCCTTCTCGTGGCGGGGGTGTTGTTTACGAAATTCAGAGGACGAAAAGCGAATGTCCGGCACTTTAACCGGATTCCAAACCAATGGTGTACATGGGCTTCAGTATCCTGTGGGAACAAATGGCGTATGAACCAATCGTTGGTCACAGGCTACCATGGGACTGCATCTCCTCACGATGTGCCACTGCCTTGTGGGTCAGACCTTTAGGTCAAAGGCTCGGGGTGTGATCCCCTAGGGAGACCACCTGCTTCGGTCTGGGCACCTGGGCAGTATCACAGCCCACACACAAATAGAATGAAATTTGTGTGGCGCATATATATATGGTGCCCCCTTGTAGCAATATTTATTTGTTCAAATAAAATAATGATATAAATGATATTCAGGAATATTCTCTGACAAGTTGTCTTAGAATAATTTATTTTCTTAGAATAAGGCTTTGATGTGTTGCGTTTCGCTAATTACTTGTTGACCACAGAAAAAACATCATTAATAAAGTTCCAATAACATTTAATTATTGGGTTCAAATGAGAATAAAGATCCAAGTTATTTCACTAGAATCAAATGAATATTCGCTAATTTTGATTATTCATAGCTTTCAGAACCGATAAAATTAATCTTCAAGAAAAATTAGGTTTAGAGTTCATGAGACAGAAAGATTTATGTTATGACGGACAACTCTAGATAACCTAGAATGATTAACTAAACAAATTATATATATTTCCATTTGACTAGGCAGTGCTGATTATTGGTAATGCGAATTCTTTAACTATTTATGCCACACTCAGTAGTGACAACTCAAAGTGTGGCGAGATTTACTTAAATCATTTACGTTTAGATGTGTTATAGTCTTGTTTATTGTAATATTGTGAACGCGAACAGATGACGTTCATTCTCACGGTATTTTAACTTAAGTTATACATTCCAAATACAATTGACAGTTACAGTTTCCTACATTCACTCAATAATGTATCACTACTAAGGTACTGCTGAAAAGTTCCCAGAATTTATATATCTTCAGTATCCAAATATTTTGAAGACCTCAAACTGTACTTCGAATCCATGATTAGCAGCGTTAGTTTCTCAAATGATTTGCTAAAGTCGTTTCAAGTAGTTTTTTGGACTCAATCGCGACCAGTCAAACAAAATGCAACACACTCCTTTTTTCAAACTGAAAGTCAGATAGAGTGAACATTTTAAATAACACATTGTGTTAGACAGAACAGGTACGAACTCAATTCAAATCAGTCTATAGACCAAAGGAATGATTTATTAAGGTAATAGGAAAATCTAAATGAAAATTTAACAGATAAAAACTACTAAGTTGAGGTGTGTTCTTTTTTAAATGTTCTGACTGAAGTGATTTTACTAGAATATCAGACTCTTTCACATTAAGAATTGAGACACCTAATGTCTTATTGGCGAATTATCCTGACTGTAAAAAATATTTACAGATTAGGGATCTAGTCCAATTCCACAAATCGAAATAATGTCACATTCTACTTATAAATTTTCCATAGTTAAGAGTAAATTCATTCCAGCATTACCCTTTATAGATTAGAACTTTAGTGTTAGAATAAACTCCATGGATATTTCAAACACATCATGCTCGTAAGTACACAAAAGCACAAAAATAGGATCAAGAGTTATTTTTGATGCTGACCTGCATAGCTCAGAATTATGCTGCATTATTTTTTTATCCAAACACAATCAGACATCGGCGTTTAATCCCTCACAGTTTGAAAACAAGTCTGGTGAGTTACAAAAAATCAAAACTATTACAATTGATTTACATTTATTTATTCGTAGTAATATTTCATAAAAAGAATACGTTAAAAAGTACATGTTGTATTCGCAGGAAATAAAAACTATAATGATTTAAATAGATCTAACCATTAGTAAGTTATAAGAAAAGTATACTTTATTATCCAATTCCATTAATTCTCTTTTTCTGATTTGTCTTTATGGTAGATGAAATCTTATTTGCTCGACGTGCCTTAAATTCAGCAAGTTTCAACAACCAACAATCCCATGTGGAAGGATCGGATTTATCCAGCTGTAAATTTACACGAAAGAAAAGAAACGATTACTGTGTAACTAAAATGTTACTCTATAAATTAAATGATGACAATGTAAGTACTAGAAAAAGTCATATAGTTAATGAATAAGTTGATCAGTGGCTCATTGGTTAAGGCGTTCGACATTCATCTATTAAATCCCACGTTTGAACCCTAATATAGTCACTTTAGTTTAGGTAACTAAGTAGGATCATTATCTCTCATACAATGTGTAGTGTGAAGTCAAGTACACGAATTGGACTTGGTAAATGAATGAATAAACTATGAGCTAAGGGACAACATGATAAGGTATATACTTGTTATATATATAAGGTTTTTATCTTCAATAGTTTATTAAGATAAATTTAGAATACACTGTAGAAGTGGCTTTTAAAGAAGCAAGATACTGGAAGTATGTAAGCCATTATACTGAATGACAAGGCTTGAGAGATCAAACCATTCAGCTCAGAAAATTTAATACCAACGCAATCATTTCAGCTTTTTATTAGTCAATACATTTATACTTTGGAGTAAGATAAAAAACAAGCATTTTTCACTAGTTAACTAACCAACGGATGAAATAATCTAAACGAATTTCGCTCTGCTTGGTAAACTGCTTAATCGAAAATGGAATGATTCCTAAAATAATTTTTAGTAATTTCTTGAAAAAAAAGATATACCAATCTAACAAAAAATAAGATAAATTTCGAAACGCCAATAATGATTTTCTCAGTATTCAGCACAAATGCTTTATGCTTCTCTCAATCGCAATGAATAAACGTCATTCAGCGTCAAAGAGTTTGCACAACCGTTAATGTAACAGTATATTTCCGTTTGTTCCGTTGACTAATAAGTAATTTAAGTAAAAATCTAGGATCCCAGAGTGAACATTTCGTTAACAATCGGACATAACAAGCACTTTCCTGTTATTTACAAGCTGTTTGCTGGTTAGTTTGTAATTTAGCACTTCAAACACTAGAGCTTTTGAAATTAGGCGCTTAAGTAAGTCACCTTACTCTGTAAACTTAAATGATCTTGTATGAATAAACATATACAAGTCTGTAGGTAGATAGATTTCGGTGTTAGTTATTATCACTATATACCCATCTCATTTTATGTACCATGAGTGTTACAACTTCACTGATAAACAGAATTGTATTCTTAGGATCCAGTTGTTGGTTACTGAGTGGATACAACATAATGCCATAATTTAAAAGTAATCAGTTTGATTTTATTTGGTTGCAAAGTATTAATTCTGATATGTTCTTGAGGTATATCTAAATTTTGAGTATTGATAAATCTATTAGAATTAATGAACTTAAAGTCATGAAAGACTACAGTAAAGGACACGTCATTTGAGAAAACAAGGAAATATAATCTTTGTTACTGAAGATTACCGAATGATGAAGTAGTTGCTTTACTGTATCCACGGAAGAAACTAGTTTATCTTTGCCTTCAGCTGGATCTGTACCAAGAATGGAAGGTAAAGGAACTGAAGAATGACCAAATATAGCCGCTTCGTGTGCTCTTTCCAAAATCATTGACGAGTATTGACCTGAATTGACACCTGTCGACCGTGAATGTGAATCCGGATTCAGTAGCTAGAAACATCAAACGATTATCACAGTATATTTAATTATAAATATTGAGGTGATCTTTCCCATGGCGTAGATGCACTTTGATGCAAAGATTAACTTCTTGTAGTCAACAAGAGAAATGATGTGAACAAGAGTAGATCAGATCCTCTTTGGACAATAGCCTGGTGATTACAGAGAGGAAATGTTCTGAAGGGTTCTGAATAGATATTCTGTTTATAAGTATATAACTTGATAACAAAACTGCCGGATTACTTACTCGCTTGAAATATTTCCTTCAATTAGTCCCGAATAATTTGATAAACTGCGAAACTCTTATCCAGCTATAGAGGAAGACTACCTGTTTGCGCATTAAATATCAGACAGAAAGGGAGCTCAATTAATTACTGGACATCCCTATGCTTTACGTGAACAAAACTAAAGCGATTTTCCTGATAATTTAGTCCCGAAACCTTTTGACTTGGTGCCGACACAACCATAAGCAATTCAGTTGCCATATAGATTTATTGGGCTCTAATTAAGGTACTTCGACCACTGACATTTTACATAACTCTTCACCACATATAAATATGTTGTACGTACATACATGCTCACAATTTAGTAATAGGTTAGTTTTATCGATATATTTAAGATATGTTTACTAAACTAACTGTTCATCAACATTTAGATACACCGTTTTAGGTGTTCAACGGTAGGCAATAATCTGAGGGAAGTTTCAACTATAAATATTTTGTTTAGATATATTAATAGCGACTTGAAATGAAACTTTTGTTTCATCTGATATTTAAAGCTGTTCAATCTAACTGTTACCAAGATTTATTAGTTGGGCAATGAAAACTAAGAACTTAGGTAGGTAATAAACTTTTGCAAGGTTGCAGATAGATCTTGATGATGAGTGATCAAATGTAAAAAAATTGGATCAATGGCTGCAAAAAACAGATAACAACCACATAGCAGCAAGATAGGCTTAAATGAATATTCTTTAGTCATACAGTCATATGGAACTTAGAACCCTAAGCAATTTTGTACAGTGTAAACCTACTGTGTCTTGTTTACGCGAAGAAGAGAAACTTTTCTGTGTGAAACTTGAACCTTCGATGTAGCTAATCTCATTTTGTCGAGTTAATTCATTATCTGAAGAAAGCATCAAAGGCCTAAGAAAAGTAGCGTTAAAATTAGATAAACAATAAAACATTGAAATCTTACTTCATTTGAATGCGCAGTTCTTTGTCTTTATCACTGAAATAAAAAAGGAGTATATTAATTTGTATTAGAAATTTAGTACTTACACATATTTTTAAAGAAGTTGACTACCAAGTGACGTGACTATAACAGAGTTCACAACTCAAAATTGAAAACGTATATTTTGTAGATATAGATCTCGTACATGGAATCTGTGTACACCACAGTTTACAGTGCCTTGGCCTACGCGGAATGCATAGTTTAATAAAAGCAATCGACGGGTTATAAACAATAGGTATGGGTAACTATACTAGCATCTATTTGTCCGAAAGAATTAATTGGCATTTCCGATCGAGATAGATCGTGGTAATCCTTAACATTGAGAAGGGTACCAAAGAATATTGATTTACTGGACCCTTTTTGCAACACTTGGTCAAACTGCAGCTTACAGGAAGCTACTACTTGATCGAGTACGTCAAGTAGTGTCTGTTACAGCCGTACATTCTTCGCATTTATAGATACTTTATCGGCCAGTCAGTCAGTTAAACGCAACGCAGAATTTGGCACATGTGCACACAGATACTTTGACTCAGATATGTTTCTAAAGTTAACCGTTTCCATCTAAACTTTGGTTGCTCAGTCTACAATCTGGAGCTTACCTCCTTACCCTGTAGTACAGAGACGATGTGATTGTCTGACGAAAACGGTAAGTATTGAGTGGTAGTGAAAAACTTCTTGTGATGTGTTTCTCTTACCGTTATTGATAAAGTTTGCTTTAGGAAAAGCTTGTACGGAAACTCAACTTATCCGTAGATAGTGAGGCACTTTAGTATACTGAACATACATAAAAATCAATTATACTTACTGTGAACGTGAGCGGCTATCCCGTCGATGTTTGCGTGAGGAACCGTGCTTTTCATGATCTTCACTAAAATACATGGAATAATGTTACGTTAACATCCACAAAACAAAATCTACTAGTATGAATAAACCGGTCATTTTATGGGAGAATAACTCTACACTACAAAAAATACCGTGACGCAGACGTTTATCAGTACAAAGGAACACAAAATTTTATTCAGTCGATCTGATACAACGTAGGACTAGGCACATATGTGCATCGGTCCAAGTTACCACACCTCATTAGACCAACAAGATGAACACCAAATTTATGGAAGCAATCAACTCAATGGTGTAATATATAAAGGAAAGATTGTAGGAAGAAAGTTAATTCGTAGAAAGAAAAATATGAAATAATTTTAGTCTCGTAGTTTAAGGGAAGACAGAGAGTGTATACACCTACGCCATTGTGATCGGTTCTGAGCCATGTCACACAGAGTCTCCAACCATTCGTTACGATAGTCACGCGGACCTCAACCAAGTAGTCTGCATCTACCAACATGGCTCAGACTACAAGTTAGTGACTTCAAGCACTGATGCCACGTTTTAGTTTGGCCACCCCTAACTTTCTTCCAACCATCCCCAACACCAGTTAGCATTGCGCGTCGTGGTAATCGGTGTTCAGGCATACACAACACGTGGCCCAACCATCTCAGTCGATGAAGATTCACAACCTCATCAACTGCATTACTGTCATTCCCTAATACCCCACGTCTAACCTCACTATTACTTACCCGGTGATCCCAGAAGATGCGAGCAATATTTCTAAGGCATGTGTGGTCAAACACTAGTAGCTTACGGGTGTCTTCTACTCTTAATGGCCACGTTCCGCAGCCGTAAATAAAAACAAAACGGACTGCAGCGCAGTATACTCGTTCGTTAATTGGTAGACGGACATCTCGCCTGCGCCAAAAGTGACGTAAGTTGGCAAAAGCCAAACGAGCTTTTCGAATCCGTGCTGAGATTTCGTCAGATACCAACCCATTAGGGCTGATCAGACTTCCAAGATAAGTGAAGTTGTCAACGCGTTCGACTACTTCACTCCCTATCCTTAGTTCAGGTGTTGACGCAGACCAGTCCTGAAGCAACAACTTGCATTTAGAGGGAGAGGAGTGCATTCCAAACATTCTGGCATTGTTGCTCAGTGCTACCAAAAGACTCTGCATTTTGTCAGCGTCTTCACCAAACAGGACTATGTCATCTGCGTATTCTAAGTCGATAAGTGGACCTCCTGGAAGGAGATCAATACCCGAGAATTCAGTCGACGAGAATGTTATTTCCATCAGTAGGTCTATGATGAAGTTAAACAAAAATGGAGAAAGTGGACAGCCTTGACGGACACCACTTGAGGTTGTAAAAGTAGATGACAGTTCGCCATAAGCCCTGACTCGACTAGTAGTGTTCGAGTAAAGAGCCTTCACAAGGTTTATGTACTTCTGAGGTACGCCTTTCAATGACAGACACTGCCACAGAATCTCGCGGTCTACAGAGTCAAATGCTGCTTTTAAGTCAAGAAAGACCACCATTGGCGGACGCCGATAAGTATGCCTGTGTTCTAGAACTTGACGAATGGTGAATATGTGGTCGATGCAGCCACGACCAGGTCTGAAGCCAGCTTGATTTCTCGTGTTTGTAGTTCACGAGTCTTAGTTAGGCGTCTGATAATTATCGAGGCTGACATTTTAGATACTACTCTGTTAAACTAATCCCTCTGTGGTTGTCACACGATGATTTTGACCCTTTCTTATATATTGGGACGATAAGTGATTGCGACCAGTCAGATGGAATGACATCTAACTCCCAGATCTTAGCTAAAGTATTAGTCAACCTAATCGCTCAAATTGGACCACCATCCTTGAAGACCTCCGGAGTTAGTCCATCTGCCCTACCTTGTTTCAGATTAGCCATAGGCTTATGAACTTCAGCTAGAGTCGGGCGACCTAATTCAATGTTCCATTCACACTGTCTGAAAATAGTGGGTAGCTTTAGAGTAGCTGAAGGTCAGTTGAACTGCTCCTTAAAGTGTTCCGCCCATCGTCCCAAACGTCTGGACTGGGAGCAGATAAGAGTGTCGTCTTTTTCCGAGACAGTCTCACACTTCAAATCTTAGTTCCAGTTTCTTTTATGAGTCTGAAGAGCTGTCTGGTGTTACCTACAGCCGCCTCCTTTTCCATCTCTTTTGCTTTCGTTGCCCACCACTGCTCACGGTCGTTTCTTAGACTTTTGCTTAACCTAGATCTGATTTGTTGTCGCTCTTCATCTTGTTCGGAACCTGATGGGACGAGTTTGCGAGAATCCATCAGTGCAATAGACCTAGAAGAAATCCATTGGCTTTTGTAACCCTTCGGTTTAAATCACTAATACATGCCACTGCTGTTTCCACATGTTTGTATATCTTTGCAAGCAACATCTGGGTTAACCTCGTTTTCAGAACTACCTAAGTGTGACCTCAGTTGTTCCTGGAATCTATTTTCAGCCTTCTCATCACTTAATTCAATTCTAATTCTCGTTACTCAATTCAGTTCTAACGGGTCTTTTTAATGTGGCTTTTTTGCGTCCAGTGAGGCGCAAGCAGATGCGTGCCCGTATTAGGGCATGGTCGGAGTCCAAGCAGGTACTCCAGAATGAGCGACAATCTTCTACCGACCCTCTCAAACGATGACTGGTGGCAACATCATCTATTTGAGTCCATCACTGGTTTGGTGAAGGGGGTCACCATGTTAGACGATGTCTCTCCTTATGCTTAAAATCTGTGATTGCTAAAAATAAACGATTGTCTGAGCACAGTTGCAGCAGACGGTCACCATTATCTGTTCGTTGTGCTGGAATACTAAAATACCCACCTAAATGCCTTTCTGTTTGGTTTAAACTACCTATCTGGTCATTAAAGTCACCTGCTACGAGTACTATGTCTGAGCGTTTAGCTTTCTGAAGAAGTTCAGATAGCTTTCTGTAAAATTCATCTTTCACTTCATCCGAGCTGCAGTCAGTGGGAGCGTAGGCAGAAACGACGAAAAGGCAACGACGCATGTCCCTGTCCTTCCGAGTTCTTACGGAGCCGTTAAGCCGAACAGCACATAGACGACTGTTGACGGGGATCTACTCTAAAAGTGCTTGTTCTGCCCTTGTACTTAATGCTATGCCCACACCTGCCATCCATTGGGTCTCCAGATACACGGAGGGTGTATCTCGTTGGCTCTCCGTTTTGCGGAGGTGAGGTCAAGTGAATGACCACACTGGGATCCTGTATGCGTGTTTCGGAGACACAGCATACATCAATTGTACGAGATTCTAGGGTTTTAGCCAAGGAAGCCTGCTGACCGATTTGACGTAGGGTGCGTACGTTGAAGGCTCCAATGTGTAGTTTGGAGCGAGGTTTCAGTAGACCTGGGACAGTGTTTTGAGCACTAGAATCGTTGGTTATGGTGACACTTGAGGAGGAAGCCGAAAAAAGAAGTTTAGAGTTTGAAGTCGACGTGGAAGGAATAACAGGGACTGAAGAAAGAAGTTGATTATGAATATAGTGGTCTTCAGTGCTGTTAGAGATGTGAGGGCCGTTATAACTTTCCGGTTGCCCACACCGTGGAAGGGTTCTTTTGAAGGTACCTGAAAAGGAAATTGGATTAGAGGTGATCTTAATGACCTGAGAGCGTGATCACAGTGCCCAACGGACAACTTCCTGAGGTCGGTCACACACGACCTTTTTATGGGTGATTTTTGTGTTAGCTCCGTACATGTTGAGACCTTACCGCCGGAGACGGATATCCGTGGGATAAGCGAGGTTTGCATTTTTAGAGTCGACCTTTTTTAACCCCAGTCCTCCTTGTGGGAAGGCAGCATCGCTGTCATGCTGGTTGTCCGAAGGAAACACCTTACTGCTGTCACACCTCTGTACAGTCAGCAGTACGACTTCGCCTTCGGTTTGTTGCTTTTAGTCTTAACGCTTTTCAAACGACCTGTCTGACATGGTAGGACCTTGAGGAACGGTTGTTTCATCACGATAGGCAAGCCCGACCACCACGTCAATGTAGCAACAACGATCACTGAAAGTTGGTCCAAGATTAAAAAGACCTTAAATTTCTTGATTTGTGGATATACATGACAAGTCTGAATTCCACCATATTTAGATTTAAAATATCCATTTGAGAGGAGGAAATTTGCTAACCTGTGACACTTCATACAAAAAACAAAGTCACTCTCATTCCTAACATTTACTTTCGTCTATCTGATAAGTAGATCAATCTTAACATATAAGGCCGTCCAACAAAATGATGGTTAATTATGATATTAGTTGGGAAAACAAACAGGAAATTAAGTTCGACGTTTTGATACTAAACACCGGCAGGTTAAAATAGTGGTGCAAGAGCAAGTGTTGGAAAAAATATCACAACTAGACGGAGAGAGCTGAACTAATAACCATTGATAAAAGATTTAATAAAGGAGAACGAGCTACAGTTTATATGAAAAAAACGAAAGCCAGCGATATGACAGTATTGAATATATCAAACTAAGTTTACATAGTGGAATAAAACTGTGAACAGATTTTCCCTCAAGGTATTCGAGAAAATAGATTGTTTAAGATATTCATAAAATATAATAAGTAACCTTCTATACCCATTATACCACCCAAGAAACATGCAGGCTAAATGCGACCATTTGGGACCAAATATATGGCCAGTATTTTTGTGTTCTACAATTTGTAATAATTGCAAAATGT